GGATTTGTATGTTTTGGTAGAGGCAGCATGGAGTACACGAGAATGCAAGGCATGCCCATCTGTCACCTTAATAGCGTCATACCCTTTGCAAATGATGCCCCTTATTAATGCGTAATGATGGCGATTTCGGTGATCCATCATCCTAGTCTGGCCATCTTGGGAGCCGGGATGACAATATTCTAATGCGCAAACTGATCGTCCTCAGAAACTATCATCGAGCCTCCCCGTTAATGTATGTTCTCTGACGCATGGGCTTCGTGAGCTTAAAGTCTGTCCATACTTCGAAATGCAAGACTAGGCAAGTTTGGCAAAGGTGGCCCGAAGATCTATTCAATTGATTCAGAATGACTTTTCACTGTTATGGTAGTCTTTGTACAGGTTGGTGCAAAAAGAAGGAAATCCACTTTTGACAGCAATTTTGACCTACTTGTTGAGCACATTTCAAAAAGTCAATTTTAATTAATGGTATAAAAATATTGATCTTTAAACATAAGTGACAAAAAAATGATTGCAAATGCATATTTTGTCTCTGACATATGGTAGTTAAAACATTTCATTTGCCAAACCTGTTTGTCCATGGACGGCTTTATTCCGTCCGCTTGACTGAGCTCCGGAGCTTGATTTGAAGACAAAAAAGACTACACTAGACTTACACGTGGACAACAGTGATTTTGGTGGCTTATATTCAAATTAGCATAATAACACTATTCTAACCTTTTTTTTAAGTTTTTTTTCACCACATGTGGTTGAGCTATATCACTACATTACAAAAAAAGGCTCAAATGAGTCAAGTAAGTAGGTTAAAATTCCTGTCAAAATTGTGTTTCCTTCTTTTTGTACCACCCTGTATACATCTGGTCCATGGGCCGGATTTAACCCATTCATTTGCGTTATGGGGGTTTTCCTATAAAATAGCACTGCCCGGTTCTTCACCCATCTAAAACCAGCCCAGGTCAAAGGTCACAGTGAGCCAATCAGATAAGTACAAAGAGGACACTAGGCTGGCCTCTTAAAGAACAGCAAAATGGAAACTCGGAAGCAAAGCGATACATTATCCCTTGAACAAAATTATTGTCCTGTCACAAATAAATCCACCCTGTCATTCTGGATGCCATGTCATGAAACATACTCCTACTACATTAATCCACGGTCGGCGAAATGGAAAGCTCTTAATTTTTGTCACTCACGACCGTCACATACTTTTAGTGTGACCTATACTTCATGCTCATACTTCATATAATGTATAACTACCACTTCGGTGAAACCCTACCACAAAGTCATTATGATTACAACCTTGCCCGGGGCACATTTACTTGAATAATGGTGTGCCACTGAAACAGAAAACGAACTTAATAGGTTATAATTCAACCAATGCATTCAACAAATAGCTATGATTTTTTTACAAGGTCTGCAAAGTCTTCTCGATGTTAAGGACGATATATCTTTCTTGATTCTTTGAGTTCGAGTTGGGCATTATTTTACGACTCCCGGTGAGCCCAAATCCAAAACAAAAAAGACAACTGATCAAATAGATAAACGGGGAAACTTCGTTTAAAGACCCAACCAACAAACACGTTTCTTTGGAGGTGTAGAGCATTCGCAAACCAAGTATTTCTAAATCTCCTCTAACTTTCGACTCGCACTGCAAAACTGCAGTGTAAAATTGTGGTATTAATATTGAACCAATACATGTATATTGCGGGTGTCCTCAATTAATACTATCATGAGTATCTGTACGTGCTAAATGTGTAGATGTTACACGATCGGTGTAAATTGAACACTGCGCGGCATTTATATTTAACCAATAACATATAATGAGAACACATATTGTTTATTCCGAAGTTAGTACATGTAGTGTTTATTTAACACTGTTGTATTGGTATTTGTATCGAGACAACATAATAATAAATGTTTAATTTACTTAATGTGGTCTGTAATGTTTAACAAGGTAGATGCAAAAATTGTGTTGAAAGATACTAGTAGTTTTAGTTTAACACTGCCGTTTTGACGTGCTTTAAATACAATGAATCTCCCAAATAAACGGATTGGATTCTAGAGTGTGGCGAATAGAGTCAGATCTAAACAGCCGTTTAAAATGATTGATATTGCACTGTGATTGTGATCGCTGCGTGTGTTCCTAACAACAGCCGGATGGCAACTTAATACAGTAGTAGTGTAAATAGAGTTGATTATGGTATGATCATCTCGAAAATTGGCGCCAAGGTTCCTCTGCAATCATCGATGGAATCCTCAATATGGTCGGCAATCATGCAAATGAGTGGCACTGGCGTCGGTTTAAGAGCTTAATCCAAACTTAAGTGCTTGAACTTTTCGAATGGACAGTTTGGGCTATTTTAGTCCGACTGCCACTTGCAGTCTGGTGCCACGCTAACACCATCGTTGTGACTTCGTATTCAGGAAATGGGAATCAGACCCAATGCAATTTCGGGCATCAATCGATCACTAGAGGGTTGAAGCTTGACAAAACCAAAAGGCCTAGAATTTGAGGGAAACTTTAGTGGGAAATGGTACTAATTGAAAGATGAACAGTTGTAGTAATGGCCAGGAGTTTTAGAATAATTAATGATGTTCTGAAACTAGTACGATTTTCAAGAAGTGAGAGATCAGACATTTTCTAGTAAGCAAGTTTTGCAAGCATGATATTGAGTGCTTTAGGATGGTACGAGGTCTGACGTTTATAGCGACCGGTACAATACATAAGTCATCAAGAGGAGTCTGTTATCGACAGAAGCAATCGGGCTAGGGCTATTCGGCAGGTATCAAGCAGTTTATCTGTTCTTCTGTCAGTGGTGGCGAAAGGATCCTTAAGATCTCGTTAGCTTTCCTCGTCTTATTGCGGGTTCCAGAGGGCCCAGCCGACTTGTCCTCTTTGCGCCAATCTCACTGACTGACTCACTGACTGTCCCTTGTGTTCCGGGCCGTCACGGTTACGCTAATGAATAGGCTATCATCCGCCCACATGTGTAGGCCGCATGCATGAAGAATCCAGTAAATAGCCATCCCGAATCAACTGAATAGCATTGTGTGAGGTACAGACCCTTGTCATGTTGCGGCCATCTTAATTGTTTTCCCCATTCAAATCAACGTAACCAAAGCGAGGCTGGAAGGAAAATAGTCTGGTTCCTTTTTGCACAAAAACATTATCAATAACCCTTACAGTACTGAATCCTCCAATTTTAATATGATTTTGCACACCCCCTAGGGAGTTAGGGTTAAGCACTGTTATTGGAGACTGGGAACATGACTGAAATGGTGGCAGCATGATAAAGGCCTAGAGGACCAGCTTTTGGCTGGCCTCAACCTCGTTCCCAGTGTATCAAGCAGTACGCGCCCACCACTATACCTGCTCTCTCACCCTGGTATTTGGATCATTTGAATATCCAAAATTTTGAATGCGTATGAAAATGAGAAATAGTCCAGTGCCATTCTGTGCCTTACATCAGCGTTTGTTTTTGTATGCGGTGTCTGGGGTAAAAACGGAATCAATTCGTCGCGGCGTTAGTGACGAAATCACGATTTCATAAATGTTAAAATGTTACAATGTTACAATATGCAGTATCACATTTAATATTAAAATTAGCAAATTGGAAGGAAAGAAATTATACACAACGCCATTACACAACTGAACAGCTCAATTTTTCGGGACAAAATTGTGACCCCCGAAATTCGTTTTCATGGTTCTCGCAAGACTAATACCACAACACCCAGATTTTAAAGGATGGCTGTGTGGACGTTTTTGTACTACTTTAAAATGCCCTTTCCATTTAATATCATTACGTTTAAAACGCGTTTTGTGGCCCAATTTGGTGTATTCCAGGCCGTAATTTCCCTTTAAGATTGAAACTGTTTGATATGACAACGTCCTGTGGTGGATCCATTCTGCGGTCTTTTTATATCAAATGTGCTGCATCTGTACATCACATCAAGTGTAAGGATGTCTTCGTATCAGGCCTTGATAACAGCTCAGTTGTCGGAGTTTGTGAATAACATACATTCCTATGGCATCATTAGATATCACATTTAAATGGGCCCGGGCGAGCAGAATCAATAAACCATTTGTCAGCGGCGTGGGGCGGCCAGTAAGATGCAGCGGGGGTCGGTAGGCTCATCGTCATAAATTAGAAATGTCATGTGTATAAATCATCTTTTTACTCTTTGTGCTGCAGTGGCTAAACAAACAGCCACGCGGGGAAGGAGAGAGCGTGACCGCGCAACATTTAAAAAGACTCCGCAGTATGCAGCACCTATAGCAGGAAGAGGCAAGCGGTTTAACAGTTTATCAGTATGCCTTAACCGTACACGGCCTTTAAAGGCATATCGGATCATTTGCATGCGTCCCAAAGGTAACCCACCGAATTATTATGAAGACGCTTACTTGGATTAAAGTTCGTACTTGTACTAAACACCCTGTATAATTATTCCATCTGGCTTGCTGTCATTTAGAGAAAATCCAGTAATGTAGGTGATTTCCAACGATCAGTCAATTGCTGGTTTTTGGAATGAAGAGTTATATATTGAAGATGTTGTGTTTCGTGATCAAAAAGTTGTGCATGGTTATCCACTTTTTTATCTCGAAAAATGAGTTGAAACTTCAAGAGGTTAGGTTTTGAGCATTCGTCTTTGGATTTTGAGTGATGTTAATCTTGGAGTCGAACAACATGCATGAAAGCAAATGATCCTATATAAGTTCTGGGTCTAATTTCATTGAGTCTGCTTTCCGTAAAATTGGCCCAAGACATAATATGACGTCACGCCTTGGTTACACGTGACCTCCACTGTGGAGAACGTACTAACATAAATAAAAAATGTTGATAATATCAAAAGTTTGCCAATATCAGCAATGCGCGCATCAAAGATAGCTTTAGAAACTTCGTAAAGAGCCGTTTTCTACATACAGTTACAACGATGGACATTTATCTCACCCCAACAAAGGAATAAGTGTAAGAAAAGAAAATGGACGAAATTTGACTCAATCATACCTTTTTTATAGGCGTCGAAGCTATTTTTGCCGGCCACGTGTTCCACGACTGGCACCAACTCAAACAATGTGTCGTTCGCAGGAGCTCCGTTGACGGGAACTCTCTTGCGGTTTATCCGGTTGACTGCAAAACGGAAAGCCTGTTCATATTTACTGTTCTTTATGAAGATCCCGCCTGTAATATAGAAAGAAAAATAATACGATTTAAAATATCATGGACCTCGTTTTCGTGAAACCTCATTGACAGCGTCTTGATGTGACGTCAACGCAGTTATAAGCGAAAAGCAGCATTTGAACCGTGTTGCATTATTCTGTTTACAAATTGGTAGTGGTCACGTGATCTTTACTTTCAGCAAACTGCTATCTTCTGCACTGATTGTCCACGACACCACGAAGTAACATCCGAGTGGACTTAGGGTGCGCTACGCACGCGTATTTTACAGAACTGTGCGATTTTCGTTTTCACGAAGTAACTCCCAAGTACAATGTGCGCTCACTCGATACTTTATTTGTTTTGACGAAGTAACACCCATCTTTATTTCACCAGTTTAAAGGCTTTATTAAATTTTTCTGTAATTCCACAAGAATACGGATTAATTACATGCCTGTCAAACGTTTTAAAATGTTTTTATCCAAATAGTATTTCCGTAACAGTGTTTAACTTTGTGAAAACGAAAATCGTTCGCGCCAGTGTCCCATGTGCGGAAGCACACTAATTGGGTGTTACTTCGTGAAACCAAAAATTGTCATTTTCACGAAGTAACACTGGAGTGGACTTTGGTGTTACTTCGTGGTGTCGGTGACGATATGTATCTCTTGTAATGTGAATGGTGTCACAGTGGTGACAGACTAATTAATGTGGGCAAAATAGCATGCAAAATATGCTAAAAATGTTTGGGGTGCACGTTGGTTACCGTTAATATGACGTCACATTGGTACACGTACGGTATACACATACGCACGTGCGCGCAGGCACTGTATTGTCGATGTCACGAAATTAGGTCAACATGATATTGGAATCATAGACTGGATGTGATGAAAATGTGCGCGTCGTAAAACATGTACACCAGTCATTTTGAAAAAAAAAAACCTTTCTGGGGAACATACATACAATTTCAAAAGAATGTTTTAATCGTGATATTGAAAATGACATTAAAGGCTGGGCATACATTTGAAATATAACACCAAAACGGTTGCGCAAGTATTTGAATAAAATACCACTGGGCTGGAAAACAGTTGAACGCTAAACGTTGGGCAAGTATTGGAATACAATAACACTAAAGGCTGGGCAAACATTTGAAATATAACAAGAAAGGTTGGGCAAGGATTGGAATAAAATACCACTAGGCTGGGCAAAAATTTGAAATATAACACTAAAGGCTGGACAGGTATTTGAAGTATAACACTAAAACTTGGACAAGTATTTGAATAAAAATAAAACTAAAGGCTGGTGGGAAAAAAATATGAAATGTACCACTACAAAGATTGGGCAGGTATTTGACTAAAGTAACACTAAAGGTTGGGCATACATTTGAAATATAACACTAAAGGTTGGGCAAGTATTAGAATTAAATAACACAATATATTTGAAATATAACACTGAAGGTGGGCAAGTATTTGAAATATATCACAAAAGCCTGCGCAATTAATTTTGAAACATAACACTAAAGACTGGGCAAGTATTGGAAAATGACACCAAGGCTGGGCAAATATAAACAAAATAGTAAAAGTAACAGAAAATATTATTTGATATATTTGGAATATAACTAAGAACCCTCTAAACTACGCATAATCAAGATCTCATTATTGAAATTGCAACACGAGGTTTGCATTGTAGCTGTGTAAAATTTTATCAAACAAAATTCGCAATGAAAAGGAACCTTTAAAGGAATTGTTTTACACCGAACGTGTTGTGAAATGGTTTTTTTTTTTTATAGTTTTCACGTCTTGTTTACATACATTGACAGAAATTTCCAATCAGAAGAACGACGGGAGAAAACGAAGAACAAGAAGGCCCCAAATGGTCGCAAACAGTCGTCTCCCGAGCTAGACGCATAATATTGACTTTCACGCGTTCTTTGCAAGCCAATCTTACTGAAGTGTGCGCGAGAATCACGATTCGTTATCGGAATAAAAAAAAGAGCGAAAAACTGCTTGGAGCGCGGACACGCACGCTTTGCTCGCCGGTGCGAACTTGAACGTCGTGCCGTGTTTTTCCTGCACTGTCTCTTAAGCTCGAATTTCAAATAAACCCACATTACTAAAAAGTCCTGCACGCAAGGAGATATTACTCGCGTCGGGAACGAGGGTATCAAAGGTGAGCCTTGGGCGGGGTTTCGTAAAAAACGGACATAAAAGAAAAAAGTTCAGCATGCAATACAACATCGCTCATTACGCGTGTACGGACACGAGTCACCCTAGAGCCTCTAAGGATTTGGTTTCGCTGAAGAAGACGCTGAGTGGTCCCGTGTGATGGCGCATCAACATGCGTCCTCGCAAAGTAAGACGCTCATGTTTCAGTACCTTTTTTTGGCCGTGAAATGTTTGCCTCGCACCGTTTCGAGTGGCTGCATTTTGAAAAGGAAAGCTCGAAGCACGCGTGCTCGTCTTTATAAAAGCCCAATCAGCAATTTCGATTGTCGGCTAAGCCTATACGCTATAATGCTGCACACAATAGAATCTTTGATCTTTCACGTTTAGATTTTCATATAATTCAAGATAATGTACACCATTTGCAAACATTCAGAAACGCAAACGCCAAAATTATAATGACATAGCCTATTTGATTGTAAGTAAGTTAGTATTAAGCTTCCTGTGAATGACTTCAAGAAACGAGGTATTTTGTATCAAGACTTACGATGGTCTGGACCGAACCATCTCTGTCAAAAAACTGGTAGGCCTATTTTTTCTCTCTTTCAGTTTCAAATACTACATCTGTTCATAACGGGCGCCAGCCAGCTGTCGACTTCGTTCGTAAGTTCGGAACGCTGGTACATGTGTGTTATTCCTGTTTTCACACCACACAGACGACACTCAAGACGGCAAAAACATTGAACAAGTGATTGGAACGATCATATCACTAGTCCCAAATTCAGTCCATTTCATTAAATAACGACGAATGCAAATATTAATAACGACCTTCAATAAGTGTATTCATATTGATATTTAAACTATTTGAGCGACGCAAACAGGGAATAGAATCGCGTGCATGCTCGTTTTCAGCAAGAAACATGTATGTACACGTCCGGACATTGCTATTCAACATCAAATGTTCGATTACCAAGTACACGAGAATCTACGCGTGAGCATTCCGTCGTTTGCAAAGGCTGAAACCCCGGCGAGTCCCCCTTGTGTGTTATGTATAATTAAATCTCAGTCCTATCTCTTTCTATAAGGAGTTTAAGTCACGCGGCGAAAATCCCACGGCTGGCGATCTTCGCACCTAATTAGCAGCAGACGGTCGCTCACGGGTCGAACAGGTGCTTAGAGATCGTTGTAATTGCGTCCCGATGCGTCCGCGCCCTGGAGCATCGGCACTGATTAGTCAGAGACTGCGCACGTCCTGCGCGCGTGGGCTGAAAATGAGCAACAGGGATTTATACAGAATCGCCCCGTTGATAAATCCAGTAAGGATAAGTCACTGACATCAGAATGAACGGATCTGAATGTTTGCAGTTGCTCCGTTTGACATGAAATCTGTTTTGTGAGTTAGTGTGGGTCCGGAAAAAGGCCAGAATGGTTTATCAATACCAAAATAAATGCACTGAACTATTCAAACATTTACTGTAATATGATGTGGTCAGATCTGACTAGAGAACCGAGCGCATAACATATAATTTTTTTCCAGTAAATTCTAGTAAAAGAGCTGTGCGACCTGATTTCAAGTTACTTCCACACAACTTAGAAAGCAGTCCGTTTGTTTTACTACATCATGTTGGAGTTTGGATGTGAAAATAAGAAGTGATGTCGTATCAATGATATTTCTTTTTGAGAATACACCCCACCCTTTCATTCTCAGTTATAGAAAACTAAATGCAAAGAAACTGAATTTTCTGATACTTTTCTGTTAACGTTTTTGATCTAGTGATTGATTTAAAATCACGATCGCATCAGTGTTATTTTTCCAATAATTCTGCACATATGAAAAAACGAATGTGTTATAAGCAAGCGAAATGTTCATTGCATTTCCCAGTTGAGCGTTACCCCGCAGGTGTTCGCAACAGCAAGAGGTATCTACATTCAAAACATTTAAATGTGTAAGGTACATCACCGCTGTTGGCAACAACCTGTAATTGTGCCTACGCACTATAACACAAGACTAGTTTAACGTGTGTTTCACTTTATGCCTCCTCGGGGAGAAACGAAAGACATTAGGCCAAGTTTCCATCTCAGAGATAAACGTCAGTTACAGAAGTGTGCGAACTTCTGGGCAGATCGATATGGAAACGAAATCCCACGAAAAGGAGCTTAAATACGGAGTGAGACGTAGAGATAGGAATTGATCGCAGCGCGCGCCCGAGCGTGTCAGAGCTGTGTCGGAATCTGACTCGATCCCGCCCGCAGGGGTTGAAGTATGTGTCTTGTATGGAAGGTGCAACGGCGCTGGCTCGATTCACTTTCCAACGGTCAATTTGCGAGGGGCTTTTGACGAGGTCGTCTCTCGTAGCCCCAAAGGGCGAAGTCGGGGGAGTACAGGGACATTTCTGCAGCCAGGTTGAGATATCCGAGTCAATACCCAATTTTGTCTCCGACTGGCTCGAGTGTCTTCAATAATTATTGTGCAGGCAAAACCCTGACAATCAACTGTTGTAGCTTATTGTAAATGGGTGTACAATGTTTTCGACACAGGACAATCTGCCATGAATATCAAGTCGAAAGCTTATACGACTCTGTTTTTTCTTCTTCTCGCGACAATGTTTTCAGTCAGTTACCAATGAATAGGGCCACTTTTCATTATTATTCATATATACCTAAGACAGTTTACCCATTCCTATTGGTCTAGAGCCCGTCATGTGGCCAGTTTTAAACGTTTGATAAAGACAGGGCTGGCTGGTCTAAAACACTTTTCCAGTGTCACATGAAATTTTAAATCCGGTGCCAGCACCGTTTCATTCGTTTAACCTTCACAATCCACACGTACACATGTGCAATAGTGAGTCAGTATTTCCTAGTTGT